CTGAATTTATTTCTTCTGCTACAAATTCCCCTAGCTGTAAGCCTTCCAGCTTTCTAAATATTCCTTTGTATGTGGTTCAGACTTCTGGCGACATCCCCTGAGCCTGCATGGTCCAGTATTCTGTGTTGTTGCTGACTCATCTCCTCACTGCACTTCCACCCGATCAGCCATCTTGTTTGTTCTCTCATCATTCAACTTCTTGAATGACTATCTTCTCATCTTTCATGATATTAGGGAAATTTTCTTCCAATTACTCATGGGCAATAGTCTCTATAGTCATTTTTGTGTCTTTCTGTGTGGAATTCCAATCACAAGTAAATTATTCCTATTGATTGAGTATCACATAAATCTTAGGCTTTAAAAAAAACCTCGGGGGTTATTTTTTTCTGATGATTCTGCTATCTGATGAATATGGAGATTTTTCTTCAAGTTCAGTAACTTGGCTTTCCGTTGATTCTGTTCTGCTACTTTGCCCTTTCCATATATAATCTATTTCTCATGTTTTAGTGCTAATCTTTTAGCTTTCCAATTGCTGTTTTTGTATGGTTCCCATTTTTCCATTTGTTTCCTGCCTTCTTCTATCTCTTTATCTATGTTTTCCTTGGTTTCATCTGCAGTTTTCTCAATTGTTCTCTCAACTGAGGAAGTGTATAAATAGTATTTTTTTAAATTCCTTATCAAGTAGTTCATATTTCATCTGGTATTATGTTTTCTGACTGTATTTTGGACATGTGTTTGAGGCATTCTGTCTTATTTCTTCATGTAAGCTGAAATTGTCTCTTCCCTTGAGACATTGTGGTGTCTCATGTATATTTAATTATTGATGATTGTATAATCGTGTATTCTCAGGCACTCACCACCTGTCTCCTGGTAGAGACTGGAAGTGTGAACTAGATTTTCTGTTCACTGTATAGCATAGTTCCAGGCAGGTTCACTGTTTAGCAGAGTTCAGAGCAGGTTCCACTGACCCTAGGCAGAACAGAGAATGTGCAGGAGGGGGTGCCACTGGCCACTGGGTTGGTGACATAGGGGTCTGGCCACACTCCCAACTACTAGGAGGGCACGGGAACAAGAGAGACCTGCACTCCCATGCTGCCAACATCCAGCTGTGTCCTGTGCTTGCAGGCAGCTATTATCAACAGCTGCCAGCAAAATCTATAGATGGCCACACCACAGTCTACCCATTTTTCTTATCTCTTACTGCTCCTGTTCCTCTTCCACTTGGCACTCAGTCCATCTCTCTGTCCTATCTTCTGAAGCTCAGGGTTCCAAGGTAACCATCAGAATCTGTTTCGCTCAGTCTCCCATGTCTCCATTACAAAGGGTTGGCTTAGTGAGTCTGCAACTTACCCTGGGATTCCCAAACATCCTTTTTAATGTCTATGGTTACAATCAAATAACATTTTCTCTTTAGATATACTGGTAAGATAAAATATTCTAAGAGATTTCCTAATAATGAATCATCCTTGTATCCCTGGGAAAAGAATCTGACTTAGTGTTATATTAGTCTTTTAAAGTGTTGCCAAATTTTGTTGAACGGTATCTCATTTAGGATTTGTGTGCCTAAGAGAATGAAAGAGGTTGGTATGTAGTTTTCTTGTTTTGTATAGCTTTTGCTGGGTCTTTACATCAATGTTAAGCTTGGTTCATAAAGAGAATTGGCAGAATTCTCCTGTGAAACTATCTGAATTGTTTTTTGCAGTTTTAGATTGGGAGTAGTTCTCTCATGAAAATTAATGATGTTTGCTATTTTTACTGAGGTCTATTTTGGTAAGTTATGTTTCCATAGATTATAATACATTTATATATAAATACAAAGTTTTAAAAACCATTTTCACCAAGTTGAGCAAAATGACCCCAGTTCTTTCACTTTCCTCTATGTCTATGGTTATTTCTTTCATTAGGAAATCTGGAAATGTCTTTCATTCTGTTGAGATCAGGTTTTGTAAGTTATTCTGTTTAATGAAAACCTGCAAATAAGTTGTGGTGGGTCCAACCAGAAAACACATTTCTAAACCTGGGCAGCAGTTACTAGTAAATGAAGTGAACATCAAAAATACTGAACTTTGATTGTTTAGCACATTATTGATTACGTCTAAACCAATCTGTCCCAACCAGAAGTAGGTAAAAAGTGAAATTACCCTTGCTATCATCTTACTGTGGAACCTCCATCTCACCAATCCCATCTCAAAGCATGCTAAATATAGGTAAAGCTGCTTTGGGCTCCAGAAACTCGATGGCACATCCCGTGTCTAAACCTCCTAGTCTGTCTCTCTAGAGGCTCCCTCAATCTCCTAGCAAAAGCCTGGAGGCCAGAGAATGCCCGATGGTGGAGCTCAGCTTGTCCACATGGGCCTTGGCTGTTGGCTCCCTGAGTCCAGAATGGCAGAGTGTCTCAATGAGGGTTCTCTAGGGGAATATATAGGATCAGTAGGATATATAGATGTATATGGACTTTTAAAAGTTCATGGAAAAACTCCATTATCTTTCCATTCTAATTTTCCACAAAATTTTTAAGCTGCCTTATACATCTAGATGGATAGAGAATGATTATTATACTTGGAAGGATTGGCTCATGTAATTGTGGGAACTGGCAAGTCCAAAATCAATAGGTCAGGTGGCAGGCTAGAGACTCCTGCAGGCTTGCATCCCAAGATCCATAGGTCAGGTGATGGCAAAATTGCAAAATGGAGAGAGAGCTCTGTCAAAATATCTTATTTATAATATGGAGGCAGACCACGCCCTAAAGAAACTCTCTTTTCAACTGATTGGCTGATTATATTCTATTACATATGTTAGAGAATTACTACATTACATTGTTGGAGTTGTTAAGTGCCATCAAGTCGGTTCTGACTCATAGTGACTCTGTATAGGGTTTTCAGGGAGTGGCTGGTGAGCTTGAACCACCACTGAATGGTTCAAACCGACCTGGCAGTCCAGTGCATTAACACACATTACATTATGGAAGGTGATTAATTACACTATAGAACAGCAACTAGTCTAGTGTTTAACCAAACCATTGGGAATCATAGTCTAGCCTAGTTGACACATAAAATTAAGCATCGCATGGAATGAAGAACACTTTATTTTTGAGGCTGGAGACCAGGCAGCCTCTTACTGATTGCTCTGCCACAGCCTTCCTCAGTTCCTCCTTCCAATGGGGGGAGGAATCTCCTGCCTTTCACCCTTTCCATACAGTAGCTTCTAGAGTGACTATGATTCCAGGATATTAGGCAGCCACTTAGCTCCTGATAAACATTTCACTTTAGAAAACCCTTCTCTCTACCCACTAAGCACCTATCTCCCTGAAACAACACACCTTGTTGGATTCTGAAAGACCAAGTCCTTCTTACCCTATCTGGGAGCCACCTCCTCACAGGGTGAGGACTAACTGGGCAGCATGCCCTGTGGAAATGGGAAAACCTATAGATTCATTGTCTTAAAATGGCCTTGTGGAAATGGGAAAGCCTGTAGATTCATTGTCTTAAAATGATATATTGGCTGATCTTTTTTTCTTTCATGAGGTGATTGTTGTTGTTGTTGTTGAGTGCCATCGAGTTGGTTCCGACCCATAGCAACCCTGTATAGGGTTTCCAAGGAGCAGCTGGTGAGCTTGAACCACCGACCTTGCAGTTCAAACGGCTTTGCAGTCTGGTGCATTAACCCACAGCATAAGGTGATAGATAAGTAAAAACTGATCTGTAAAAGGTGTCAATGTAAGATGAGATGTTGTTAGCCTAGAAAGTCCATTGACTATATTCTGAAGGCCAGAAATGGTTCAATGTCAGCTGAGGCCTGTGGGAGCCAGGTCATCTCATCCACAGCCATGCTTCCCCTCAGACAGACCCCGTGACCATCCAGGCCGTCTGCGGCAGAGTCACCCGGAACGCTGTGCGTGTGTGGAGCAACATCCCAGCTGTGAAGAGGTATTTATTACAACGACTATGTCTTTATGTCCTTTCAAAGGTTCTAGTGTGGCACTATAGGATAAGCACTGGATTGCTAACTGCAAGATTGGTAGTTCAAACCCACCTGCTGCTCCTTGGAAGCTCTACATGGGGTCTCTATGAGTATGTGTTCCCTATGAGTTGGAACTGACTTGATGGCACTTAACAAAATGTCCATTCAAGTTTGAGGCATGCTATTCCAGTACTGGGTTTAACCAAGGGAAGGGAAGTCAGAGAAAATGGGTACCTGAGCAGGCTCTGTGCCGGGTCAGGGCTTCACTGATAAGGGCACCTTTGGAGCCATTCAACAAATGCTGAAAACTCGGGGTCTTATAGGTCCTTTTCCACTCAGGGACCCCTTCCTCACTTCTCCACTGACACTTCTGAGCCTTCACCTTGGCATTTTAGCACTTCCCAGCACCCTAATTGAGGGGAACAGACAAACTCCTGAACACGTGCCATAAGGCCACCAGTGGCCCAGCCCTACCATCCCTCAGTCTTCCAGAGCACCCCACCCACCCTCCACACACATACACACTCATTTGCTCACACTCACATGCCCCCACACATTCACAATCTTGCTCACACTCTTATCCCCCATACTAGCATGCTCATACTCACTCACCCACACTTATGTAAGCTTACACTCATGCCCACATTATGTACATGGACACCCTCACACTCACACTTATTCACACATTCACAGTCCGCACACTCGTTTGCACATGCTCTGTAACTCATCAGTACTCATCCACACTTGGATCTGCATTCATCTGCACACACTTACACACCCACAAGGTGCGTGGGGGCTGCACTAAACACATAGCACCTTGGGCTCATCACACACTCCTTTCCTGCCCAGACACTCCTCCCAGAGTTTCTGCCACAGTGTGGTACAGGATCTGTACCTAAGTGTGGCTATGGTGAAGCAATTTTCCAAAATTTTTTCTTTCTGGAACCTGCATCCCACCCCACAATGTTTTCTTTCCCTCCTCCTCCCTTCCTCACATCATGCTTCATGAGGTACTGGGCAAGGTGGGCAGGTGAGGAGGAAGAGGTGCATGTGGTCTAAGTGCAGAAGCGCCTGAGTGTGGACCCCCATTCAGGCAGGTATCTTTCTCCCCCAGAGTCCATTTATTCAGCAGGGAAATAACATCCCTTAGTAGTAATGATGGGCAGGTGTGCCCCAGACTCAGAACATAGACGTTGCTGGATAAAAGGTGTCTCCCTTCCCTCCCCAAACTATAGAGAGGTTCCCACCAGATGAGACCCCTCCAGATCTCAGCAGGACACATCACTACTCCTCTCCCTTGCTCCCAAACCCACCCCCTTTCCTGCTAGCATGAGGGCAGGCTAAGGGGGTATCTCTGAACAGTACTAACAGGACCACTGGTTCATAAAACGAATGCCTCTTTTCACGGACGTCTCCCCTCTCAGGTTGGTGGGTCCCCTTAGTAGTGGGGGCTCACAGAAATCCCTTTGTTAAGCTAATCAGCCGTCCACAGACTAAGACAGTCCTGAGCCTGCCCAGGATGGAGGGTTGGGGGAAAAAGACTGTGGGATGGGAGTCTCATTTGGGATCCCCAAGTAAACTGGGAAGCATTCTAATTCCAAGGAGATGCCCTGCACATGAAGGGGGGTAGCAGGCATTGGGCTGGGGAATCTAAGGCCAGAGTTGCATCCTTCCACTCACGCCGCCCCCGACTGCCCCCAGCTCAGCACTGGGTAGAGTCTGTATATTTGCTTGGATAGTAATCATTTTACCTTAGATGAATAATTCCAAATGTTTACAAAGTATATATTGTTACTAAATGCCATCAAGTCGGTTCTGATTCATAGCGACTCTGTGTAGGTTTTCCAAGGAGTGACTGGTGGATTTGAACCACCACCCTTGCAGTTCAAGCCAACATTGCTATCGAATGTTTATCCTCCAGCGCCACACCAGGAGGCCAAGTGTATATTGTTGTTGCTAAATGCTGTCGAGTCAGTTCCAATCCATAGCAACCCTATATAGTTTCCAAGGAGCAGTTGGTGAGTTTGAACTGCTGACTTTGCGGTTCAGACGACTTTGCAGTCCAGCACATTAACCCACAGTGCCATATCAGATATTAGAAGTCCAGTATATCAGGAGTCCACAGTCATGCCATTTGACCCTAGTGCCTGCCCAGTGTCTGTTCTTCAGACACAACCTGGGAGGACTCCACATCCTATTCCAGGATGGCTTCCAGATCTTCTGTTTATACAGACAGCTGGGGTCCTGTGCTGAGCTGATACGTGTGACCCCCTCCACCACCTGCTTCTCACCCGAGGAGGGGTGAGGCAGGCAGCCTGGGTTCCCTTCATCCCATGGCACCAAAGACTTGTCATTCCACCGTTTTGTGTACAGCTCACAAAAGGTGGACAGATCTTATTAAGAGCTTGATAAGTCTTCTGGATCATTCTAGGGAGACGCTCCAGTC